GAAAATTATAAATTTGCTATATTAAACATATTAACCACCAAGAGTCTCTAGCAAAGTCAAATACTTGTTGTAATTCAGTACTTTATGGACACAGTAAACTTCTGAAAAGGCGATACTGTGACCGGAAGTTGTATTAACATATGCAAAAAGCCCGTTTTTTAAAAATGTCTCTATAATTTCTACTCTTTATAGTAGAACTCCCAAGCTTATTCACTTTATAGTCCAATAGCTGATAATGGAATGATCAGATGCCAGTCTTTTTAGTCCCCCTTTCCCCCCGTTTATACATTTTTTTTAAAGAGCTTTATGTCCGGATCTTTTGCCAGCCATTTACTTTGAAGAGAGGGTAGGAAATATCACTCCTCCTGTCCTCGCCTTTCTGGATATTCAGAGGGGGTTTATTTATAGAATCTCTAAGTTCTTTGGTGTTGTGTTTTAGCTGTATTTACAGTATCTTCACCGATCTTGGAGGTGAGGCATAGGGCTCTCTTTGTCGGGTGTTCACAGCTATGGCAGTCATGGCAGACTTTGACTGCTCTGCTCCACACTTTCGCTTCAGGACAGTCCTGATTCCCCCGTCCACTGCCGCACGCTGGGGGGTCGAAACGCGTCCCCTGCTCCAGACCTCTCTCCAGGAGATCTGGCAAAACTTGGACACCTCCAGAGCTCCATTAAAAGGTATGGAGAGTCGGCGGTGCTCAGGAGAAAGTCCGCGCACCTGCCGCCCCGCTGCGCTGGAACCCAGAACCCAGGTCTTCTGAAGAATCTTGTGTCAGCTTCACAGGTTGATCATGTTCCTTCATGCCTTGCCTGACTCATATCCATGTACCATGCAGGATGACTAACTTTCCATCCAATCTCATATTTGCTTTTACCTCTTACTTGGGTCTATAACTCCCCCCCGCTGTTTAGAAGAACCCTTCCCTGATGAATCCATAAAGCACCTTTTCACAACTCCAGCTTTTCAAAATTTGTCACAATGTAAGAAGGATTAGCAGTTTTCTACTCCCAAATCAAAAGCCAGATTTGAACACAAATAAAACGCCAAAATGAATACACAATAAATAATGCAAATTAGTCATGCTAATTGCAATTTCAAAGGGCTCATGCTAGCAAGAATGGGCTTGTAAAAATTAAGGAAGTAAGCAGGAAGAGACTGGGGAAACAAGAAGCAGGGCAGGGGATAAGAAACTCACCAGAGCACAAAAATACCATCCCATAAACAATGGGAGGACTAATGAGGGTCTTTGTTGTAACAGATTGGAACTTTATGTCAACTTTATGAGAAAGGAACAAGAAATGCAGCAAGCACAGTGTTATCTCAATCTATGAATTAGATCTCTTTTGACTCCCACACCCAGGAAATACGCTCAAGTACAGGGACACACCAAAGCAACCAAGAGGCACTTGCACACATTGTTTCACTGAAGGGAACTTATAAAAATGAAGGTGGAAGAAGAAGAAGAAGAAGAAGAGGAGATTGGATTTAGACCCCGCCCTTCACTACCGAAAGGTGTCTCAGAGCGGCTTACAAACTCCTTTCCCTTCCCCTCCCCACAACAGACTCCCTGTGAGGTGGGTGGGGCTGAGAGAGCTCTTGACAGAAACTGCCCTTTTTCAAGAACGGCTCCTTATCAGAGCTATGGCTTGCCCAAGGTCATCCAGCCAGGTGCAAGTGGAGGAGTGGGGAATCAAACCCGGTTCTCCCAGATTAGAGTCCGCGCACTTAACCACTACACCAAACTGGCTCTACATTGAAGGTGCTATACAGAGGTTTAGACAGTCCACAAACTAGCCTACAAGGAACATTTCATGAATCTTCTATATTCAGTAGTGTCTGGTCCTTCCCTTCTCTGATGTCCAAAGAGACTAGCCTACAAGGAACATGTCAGGGAATCTACACAGGCCTGGCAGTAAGGCACTGTACAACCAGGTAGCTTCCTGCCCCAGGGGAATTAAAGATTAGTGAGGCTCCCTGTGCAAAATCCTCCTCACTGCCGCCGCCCATTTAATTTCAGTTAGAGCAGGAAGTAGAGCCCTCTGCACAGCAGAGATGAGTATACAGGATCTGGATTGAAGAATTATTGCACTCGTTTCCACACAAGAAGCCTGGTTAGTGCTGAACAACTGACTAGGGGAAAAGTGGAATACACAGAATCTTACAATCTGAGATGGTGAACAACTTCTCAAGGAACTGACAATCAACTTGTAATACACTCAATCATCTTCTGAGATGGAGAAATTCATATTCCAAACCATGCCATTATGACCTTCAGTGACAACACTGGTGTAAATGCATACTTGTTCAGAGTTTCTTTTATGTAGGGAATTAAATGTCAAATGGGAAAGAATGGCAAACCTTTAGAAGAAGTAAACTCATTCTTATGATGCAGTCCTTTAATGTCGGTTTCTACTTTACTTTAAATCACTAACTGGGGTTATTTTTCAGGAGTATAACTAACAGTTACTGGGTGGAGAGTCTCAAAACAGACAGCATCTGGTGGTAATGACCAAGACTGTTCAGGGTTCATTATTTCAACTTTAATTGGTTTAACCCTGAAATCTTGGGACCATAGTATAAATAATGAGACCTGAGAGAGGTCTAAGGTGAAAAATGAACAAGTGCAAACTTTCCCCTTTATTGGTTATATTTAGGAAGCACAATGCAATTTCCTTGGGGAAACGGAGCAACATTAAAAAAAAAGATTCATCTTTCTGGCTGTAATATAACTCTGCTATATTTCTAAGGAAATTGAAAGATATTTAAATGATAAGAAATTGTTTTTGTAATTAAAGAAGGAGCTTGAAATGATAATAAAGGCAAAGGCACTTAGTGGTTACCACAGCAACCAGATGCAACGGTTGATTGACACAACAATTTGCAGAATTTTTATAATTACAGCAGCAGCTAATGTTTTCAGTTAAGTTACTGGTTGTTACTCAATCATTTTAGAGCTCAATATTTTTTTCAAATTGTAAGAGATTAAAAACCCGTAATCACATTCATGCAGGTGCCACACATGTTTTTTGAAGGGATGAAAGTCTAGGCTAACTGACTTCTTTTGAAAACTATCTTTTTAGACAACGTCCACATGAGAAATCAAATCATGTACTCTACACGTTACTGAGCCGTTCCATTTCATATGTAAAATACAATTCAAACTCAAAATAGCAGGCATGAATGAGGTGAAATTATGCCCCTCATTAAAGGTCTAAAATGGGGCCGCACCAATTGACAAGCAAACAAATGAAAGAGGTAAACCACAAAGGGGCAAAAATCTTTTATGCGTGCAGAGCTGTGGACAATTTATTCCAAGCCTCTACCCAATCCCTTCTTTTTAAACGACTCCTGTGGTGTTAATAAGTTTCATTATCTGGTACTGCACAACACTTGTAACTTTTTAAATAGGTAAAGACTAGAATGTCTGAAAAGGGGGTGGCCATTCAAGGGAGGTGCTCACCAAGAGGGGGGGTAAGCGTTAATGGTCTACAATACAATTTTTGTAGGCATTCACTCAAAAAATTAGTACTGAGACATTTGGCAGCTGTATTAAGTATGCCACACAGCAATTCATGTTAGGCACAATACTCTGTACCATTTTTATTGGCATGTGCAAATTCAGGGTATGTTCACTTGCTGTTTGAAAAGGCCAAAAATAGCAACAATGCTGTACAGATGCATAAACATTTAAGCAGAAGTAGATTAAACTTACTACCAAGTTGATTCTTTGGCTAAAGGCAGTTACTCTTAACTAGTATATTTCTATATTAATTGTCACAGCCCGGATATTGGCCTCTGACTCCAGTGTACAGAGTCCTAGATGCTGGACTCGATGGACCAAAGGTCTGATCCAGCAGACATGTGCTTATGTGATACGAAATAAGTATTATTGTAGATCTCACTCACCTGCAGGGCCTAACCACAGCAAATTCTAATGGGCATCAATCAGAGCAAGCAGATCTACCTAAGGCCAGTGACTCCTTGTACTGAAATGAATCCTAAGTACATCAACTTTGCTTCTATTCTTTTCTTGTTATGAAAGACAGCTGGTGGTCTCTCACCTCTACAGCGGTAGTGTTCAAAACTCTGCTGTGAACCACCCATTCTAACTCTTCTGACCTGCCCCATACCCACCTTCTCGCACCCAGTGCCCTCACTAAATACTTCCACCTTAACACAGATTGTGTGAAAGTGACTTGCCCAAGGTCAGACATTAAGTCTGTGGCAATTGTTTTCCCATTCTACAGCATAAGACTGTGAATTACTGGGAAGCACAGCTAAGCGAAAAGAGTTTGGGCAAGGGGAGACAAGTGAGTCTTCAGCTGTCTAGTGCAATGCCAGAGAGTTGTTTAAATAGTTCTTCAGAAGGGACTGATACAACAGAAGCTCATTTATTCACCATATTGCTCAAGGACTCTGCTCCGGAAATGTGAATAGAGAAGAAAGTGTTTCCGAGTATGTGTAGAATATGCTTTCCTCACCACATAACCACAATCAGCTTCCATTTAAACAGAGACTAGGCATGAGTGATGTGTGATTTACAACAGGTTTTTTTTTTAAGAAATGGGGTGTTCAGATTGGAAACTTGGAAGACAAGTGAGAGGATGGAGTGGCGGTGCTGGTGGTGGTGAGGACTGGTCTACAGAAGAGAAAGATGGGGACAACAGAAAAGTAAAACGGCTCAAGAGATGGGGAATTTGAGAAAAGAAGGAAAAGGACAGAATAAAGTTACGTGTAATTACAGGTATTTGAAAAGACCAGGGAGAGGAGGTACAGAAATGTGATGCTATAGGGGAGTGTACAGGATGAGCCCACCCAGGCCAGTCCAGGGATGAGAGAGAATCCTGTACTTTTCAGTACATTAAACAACAAACCACGAGATGGTCTATACCCTCTCTGGTTTCCAGACAATTTGCCACCAGAACCTCTTTTCACTAGTCCCTGCTTTTCCTAATCTACAGCTGCAATGGCAACCTTGGTGACAGTGGTGGTGACTCACCTCTTTGCTGCTCTCGCTTCCATAAAAGTCATCTTCCATTTGGGCTCCTCGCCACATACTGCTGCTCTCTTCTTTCAAGTCCACAGAAAAGCTACAGCTTTCTGACGACAGGTTCAAGGGCTTCCCATGAGGTGGTGATCTGGGTTTTGAGGAAAAGGTAAAAATGTCCTTGTGCTGGTCTTCTGATGTTTGTTTGCTTTCATGTGCTTGGTCATCTCTCAGTGCTGAGGTTAAAAAGCTACAAGATGTTTCAGAAGCCACTAGTGACTGATTGCCGGAATCCAGTTGAGGACTCTCCTTGTTAGGGAATATCCATTCATCTGCAACTAAGAAAAGTTCATTGCGGTCAGGATGATAACCTTTCCCCCAAAATATCAAGCATATACATGAAATACCAAATGACGCAAGAAGAATGTGTGGAGATTGTCAAAAGCACCAAACAAACCACACTTTTAGTGTACCAAGACACACCGTATATAATGATTAGTGTTATCTGTGTAGAAAGAATCCATCCACCCAAGAGCAGTCTTTTTCTATTTAGCCACCATAGGTAGTCTTGACTGGAGAGATGGCAAAGAAATGAACAGAAATAAATAAATAAATAATAAAAAAAGCCCTGCTTGGTGGGGAAAGGGGCAGGATAAAAGTCTAATAAAACAAACAAACAAGTAGCTACCTTATGCAGGCTCAGACTGGCTGCCTGAGGTCTTTTAAAATGAAGACTCCTGGGAATGAGAATGGGATCTTCTGTATGCAAGACATGCATTTTGCCCCTGACCTTTTTGATCTCCCCCTCTCCCATAATGACCCAGCTCTAGCCTGTCTTCAGAACTGCAGTTTTTTTTTTACCTTCGTGCCTCCTGAAACATTCCTGGCTAAATTATATTAGTAGGATTGTTAACCACTTAAATTTGGATCGACTTAACAAAGTGGCTGATTAAAATATATCAGCTTCTCAGTACAGATGATATTCTAAAGGAATGTTAAGTAAGGCTTTCCTTTCATAACCTGCTAATTAGTTATCTTCTAGGTCTTTAGAACTATGATTTAAAGTAATACAAGCAGGGGTCATTTCGTAGAAAAAGAGCTAGGGGAACTCATTAGCATAACTCATTAGCATATGCCACACCCCCTGACATCAGGGGCCTGGCGGTGGACCTGCAAGGCCAGCGGGAGTGCGAGGAAGCCCCGCCAAGGCCCTCCCTGGCCCCAGGCAGGCAGGGGTGGGGAGAGGCGGGGAGGAAGCAACTTACCCTCCCTCTTCTCCTGCCTCCTCCTGGCTGAATGAGGGCTGGAAGTGGGGCGGCCGGAAGCAGGGGGCGGGGCTTTGTCATGTGCCCCGCCCCCCTGCACCTCACCCGGGGGAACTGCGTTCCCCCGCGTTCCCCCCCGAAATGACCTCTGAATACAAGAACATATTTTTCACTAGCAAAATGTTCAGCATTGTATTGGGTAAAGTATGCTTGATAAGATTACTGGGATGTTGCAAGGACCCCGAGGGAAAGTTGATGAGTATCTGCATACTTCATACACAGAGATGCATTGCAGTTTTTCATTGGAGTTTGTCATTGGTGTTGCTTGGTGGATTATTTTCTTGGTATTGTGTTTTTATGGACATAACTGTAAAACACCATGAGCTGGGGGGCGGGGGTGGGAATGAGGGACGTACATTGTTCATGAATCAATAAAGAAACCTTGCCAGTGAGGGTCAGGGCTCTTAGAGTCACGGGGTGGAGTGAAGAGGGTTTTGAGCTCACTGCAACACTGTCGAAATGCACAGATTTTTATTTCTTCATAAGAATAAACGGTAGCCATTCTCTTATATGGGAACTCAGATATACCACCAGGATGGGGGTTAACTCTATTCCCTCTCCCTCATGATTCCCTATAACCAAAGAGAATCAAACCTACTCCTGTCTGCATAGCACTAGCCTTTCACTAACACAGCCCCACCCCATATTGTTTCTTGGTCACGCTGGAGTGGAATTTGATAGAAAACATGGGTGAATCTCAATGAATGAGATTTCTTACTACATCACTATGAAGTCTTCAAAGGCAACTTAATTCTCAAAATGTTACAGCCTCTGCTTCCAGCCCCCGTGTCTGATTTATGTTTGAATCTCAAAACTACAGGTCTGCGCCAGAAAAGGTGTGACATGAAAAAATGCATGAATATATCCTGTTTCATCAGGTTCCCTTGTGAGCAGGCAGTGCTAGTCTTCTTGTTTTAAAACAAATATAAAGTCACTGAAATGGATTTAAAGACTGACTGCGCCAGATAAACACAAAAGGAGCTTTTTTTCTCTCCCTTGCAATGTTAAATTATACTTTACTGTTTGAAATTACATTAGGAAAAGAAGTGTCACTGTGATTGATTAAAGGGGATCTCAAATAATACCCAATGAAAAGGAGAACTGTTCAAGTATGCATCACTCCCTTATCTTCATTAGATGTACCATGGTGTGGTTTGGCCACTAGAGCTTGGAATTCCCTAGCTCCATAAACCAATATTACCACCAGCAATATATACATAAAAAAGAGCAATTTAGCACTAAAGGAGAGGTTGCATCGTAAGAGTAGTATAGCCTGCCCTGAATGGTAAGGAGTAAAAAAGGAAAAAAATGATTAAATTGTAGGAAAGAACTACATGTTACAGGAAATATGATGGCTGCCACTAAAAACATGCCGGATTTGAACTTACCCTTGTAAATGCAGAAGCACTTAAATCCATGTTACAGTCTCAAGCATCTGCAATATCTGTAGTAAAATAAGAATCCTATGTCCCTATTCAGCCTTGGGGGGAGGGGTTTCCATTGTGCTGAATCTGTGAATGAACTCAAGTTCAGCAATCTCATGTTGTAATCTCCCCTTGAATCTTCTCTGTTTGAGGACTGCCACCTTTAGGTAGGCCACTGAATGTCTTGAAAATTAAAATGTTCTCCCATTAGCTTGTGAGTGTTGTGATTTTTGATGTCAGATTTATGCCCATGTATTATTTTATGTAGGGACTGACCTGTTTGTCTAATGTAGAGAATGGAAGGGAATTACTGACACTTGATGGTATATATAACATTGAAAAATGAACAAGTGAATGAACCAGAGATGGTATGGCTACCATTGTTATGTCCAGTGATTGTGTTGTCAGAATGAATATGGGGACAGGATTCTTATCTCATTATAGAAGGTAATTTTCTCCCCAAAGAATTTCTCTCCTGCTCTAATCAAGCGGATTACATTTGGCATTGTACCTCTGCATCCTGACCCCTTGCTTAGCAAAACCTCTCCCACCTTCAGACTGGGATATAAGGAATCAAGGATCTCCATTCCTACTTCCTCTTCTATGTCTCCTGTCATGTCTACCTTTACTGTGATATTCCATCTAAAATATAAAACTTGCTCATGCAGGGTCAGGGAGTCTGTCCTGTTTCTCTCTCTCTCATCATATTTAAATCCCACACTTTCCCATAGAAATTCAGGGCAGTAGATATAATTCTGTGTGAAATACATTTGCAAAACACATTTGATCTCTGATGGTGATAACTCAGGTTTTTTTAAAAAATCTGTTGAATGGTCATCTCATATGGACACAGCAGGGTTGAGTATTTGCTCTTTTCCATCTACAACCTACTCCCCTCCTGTATGTTTAGAAATACACAGTCTCTTCTATCCAACATTAAGAAAAGCAAATGGCTAGGAAAGAAGGGATTATGTTATCTCCCATTTTAAGTTGGTACTTTGACAGAAACAGACATACTCTGTGGTATTATGAAGTGGAAGAAGAAAATAGCATAGAAAGCTGTGGAATGATATTTCACACCTATCACACAATTCAACATTTCCTGTGACCTGTAGCCAGTGTAGCATCGATACCTGTTTACAAGTAAATGAGATGAGTGTTTTAGACCAAACTAAATCCTATTATCTCTCAACCACAAATTATATATTGGAATTCTTCCATTTTTAAAAAATCAAATGTTTCCATTGTTATGAATAATTTGGTTATCTTCTTAGGAAAAATATGTAAATTACTGTGTAATCACAGTATTGCAGCAAACAAGATAAATACAAGAATGATCACCTAAATGTCTAATTAGTTTCTCTGCAGAGTCAGATTTATGCTGGAGCTTCTAATTGCAGCCTAACATTTTAATGAAGGTTTCAACATGGTATAAATAAGACTAACAAACGATAAAACAATATTCATTCATTCTATTTCTTCCCTTGCCCAAAAACAATTTCCCTTTTGTAATGGTATTGCACACCTGCTAGGAGAAGATATGTTTATGGACTCTCTGCCACATATCTGAAGAATTTCAGTTCAAAATTGGGAAGGCTCTAACACAAGGTGGTAGGGATAATCTCAGCTTTATGGGTCAATCCAAGATGAAAACCCCAGCTAAAGCAAATATATATTCTTCACTTCCGTTGCATGACTACAGTTTCCTTCTGCATTCCCTGACCCCTATTCAATTTTCTAACCCCAGTGCATGTGGGGTTGTTTTGACTTATTTTCTTGTTATGAATTTATTGGCATTGATTGCGACTATATTTTCATATTTCTTTGTAAATCCATGTGGTTCTCAATATTATAATGAAAGGCTTCACAGAATGCTTTCTGGTACTGTATGATGTACCTATATTATCCAGCAAGGGCACCAGGTCTTAGACTGATATTTTTAAACAACAAAAAAGTTACTGTTTTAGGCATGCATCAAGCATATTTAAAATGCAGGACTTCAATGTCCGCTTTACATAGCCTTGAGTTCTGCTAGGCAACTAGGAGGTAATCACAATGTACTCATCTTGCTTCCATATATGTCTGTCAAAACTGCATACTAGGAGTGGGAACTGGAAGGACCAATAAGAAGTTAGAGGGTGCTCATGGTTCCTCCTGGCTTCTAAAGGACCTGAAGCTTTTCTGTGTGGGGAGGCAGCCTTTAGAGAGCAGCTAGGAAACTTGAGGGGTGCCATTGTCTTGTTTTCCACATTGTCCGTGAGAGTACACAGATGCTGGGAGTGAAAGGAATACATTAGCAAAGATGGGCATGTGCAAGGATGAAACAGCTAAGGGGGAACTATGATCAGAACTCCTCAAGGTAGCAGGCCCTGCTCCAGTGATGAAGTGTCCCAGCTCCAGTGACAAAGTATCTGGAGCAAGGGAATAAACAGGCAAGTTTAGCAGGTGAGCAAGGAGAGGGTAAGTGGCATACATCCCCCCAAGTTATAATATAAAATTCTATCAAGATAAGCTAAGTGAAAAGGTTTTAAGTAGTAAAATAAAACAGTAATGAATAATGAAGAAATACCTTTAGGTACCAAC